TACACATCTCAGCAATGTAAGTGAACTGTTTACTTTTTGGAAATTCATAAAATTGAAAATTTAAAATAATTTTTATATTTCAGATGTAGCAAACTACCATAGTTATAATTGATTATATAATAAATATAAAAAAATACTGTAAAAACTTGAATAGAAGCCCTGGATTTTTTTTTTGGCAAACTTTGGATGGGCTTCTTTTTTAGGAAGCAAAAACATCAATCTGTATCATGGAGTGTATTAACCAGCATGACCTAAACTACAGTACTGTAAACCAAGCCTGTTTTATTTATTTTATCAATACATGTACAGTACAGTGTATGTACTGTAATATCTTGGTGGGCTTCTTCTCGAGATGAGCTTCTTTTCAAGGTTATTTTGGCCAACTATAGAGTAAGAAGTCATTTCCTGAATTTTAGATCATTTCAGCTGTTCGGCCCGGGGTACATATTACTCTTTGCTTGTAAATGCGTCTTAACACTGTAAACTTGTGAAACCAAACAATGATTAAATGGTTTAAATTGTTTGGTCGCACTTGAATTGGCTAGTGTAATAAACAGCTGCGGGTTGTTTAAAGCACCTCTGTTATCTTTTCTGCTAACGATTGAAAACTCATCAGGTCTGATCAGATCTTCATTGGTCTATGTACACCAGTACTGTATGATTGGCTGAAACTGTACGGACTAAATTAAAAATTAATACAGAGTGTTAACGGATTAGAACTGATCAATCAGATTTGATTGCATTAGTTGAAAACGAATAAAATCTGATCAGAGTTAAGACGTATTTTCAAGCAAACAGTAATTAAAAGAAAAACAACAATGACCTTTAATTTCTGTTTACTGTTATTGTTTTACAGTGTGTAATCAGTGAAACTGAATTATGCGAGGATGTCACAGGAGTGGAATTGCAGAAAGGCTTCAAAGATCCAAATCCATACATTGGTATGAATAAGATTATTGAAACTACTTGATCAATATATTTTTATAATTTATTTACTTTTATTAACAAAAGGGACTTTCTATCCTACATTCAGATTATATACAGAAGCTAGCAAAAACAATAAATACAGTATAAACAATAAATTTCTACTTTAATACTAAGATTGAAAAGGGGATGTGATCAGTCTGTTATTATAGCTTGCCGTTCAGCTTGATAAATGCTCAATGTTATTATTGTTATTACATCCAGACCGGAATAAGAATCTTAAAACTGTGTAATTCCATAGATTTAAAAAAATTTTTTTGTCATATTTTTATGAAATTTTGTAGTGACGTAAAAAAATTGTGTATGTGATTGTGTGCATTTGTATATTAGCCAGAAATGCGCATAGCTGTTCTCTGGCAACAACATTACTGTCAACATTAGGCAGAAATGTTCTCTTCAGTGTACCAGGACTCATGGAGTAGCCTGCATTCAAACTTATTATTCACCAAATATTTACAGTAGTTTCAAATAAAAAGGTTCAGACAAAAGATTTAAATTAAAAAATTTCAGCATTTGTCTATCTTTAAAATTGTATTGTTGCCATTTGAAAGAGTTTCCTAACATCCCTTTGCTTTAACATTAAATTCCTTAACATTAAATTTTGGAGAATAATAGTTTGTTATTAATTTGTTGCCTTAACAATAATAAAAGTAATATAAATTTAGTACTTTTTTAAGTAGTTGTTTATGAGTTATATATGTGTATATATGAAGAGTGGTTATTCTATACCCAATTGAATATTGTTTGATTTATCTATTTATATTTTGACAATACTTTGAGAATAAAATGCATCAGCATAGGAGTGGCAGTGTTTTCTTCGCAAATTAATTTATGGTGGTCTCAGAACATATTCAATCAATGAAAAATTGTCCAGTTTTTCTAAGCATCAGGGAGCTTAGACCAAAATATCGTTTGTCAGCTTCAAAATATTTGAGGGTAATTATTTTATAAATCTGTGTCATTTTATACAAGGTGTAAATTTTTTGTTTTAGTATACTTGTTACTTGTGCTTGTATAGTGCTTTTCCTTGTAATTTACAAAGTTCATTTTTATCCTTTAAGCCATTAGGTTTACATAGTTAAATACTGTTACCCCATCATCGCCCACTAGGTAACCATTTATACAGTAAAATGGAAAAGCAATGTAGATTTGCTCAAGGACACAAGCATGTTGCACAGCAACAAGGAATTGATCCAGATCGAGAGAAAAACCTGGGTGGGGGGACACACACCAAGTTCTTTTCCTTTTTTGTTGGGGCCTAGCCTCTTTATCCCCTCCCCACCACCCTGGACCCTGACAATTATGCTCTGAAGCATATCTTTCCTGGTTTGACACCTGCAAACACCATTGCTTGGGCCTTGTTCATGCCTGACCATGTGCTCTAATTAACCATATCTTTCGGATAGGAAGTTTAGCTGAATAAAATGGCTCTGTCTACACTACTACATTTGGAAAAGGATAGGCCTATGTGATTGCTTGTTGGGGTACTGACCAATTAAATATCTTTAGACGTGTGTACAGTATGTGTTGAATTTTGTGTTAATTTGGTGTTAAATATGTAAGGAAAGTACACAGTAAACTGAGTTCTTTACGCATTTTGAATGTTTGTGTCCTATGAAATTGCTATACACTATAAAGAAAGATTTTGCAATTTACTGCTAAGTAAAGTGTACAGTAAATGGAGTTCTTTTCGTATTTTGAATGTTTATGTTCTATGAAATTGCTGTACATTATAAAGAAAATATTTTGCAATTTACATGAACTGTAAAAATGCAATAAAAAAAATCTTTCTGTACATAGGAGTGGGAATAGTGTGTTAAAATGCTTGAAACTTGGCAGTTCTTAGCAGAAATGTGTTTGTGTTTACTTGACTGCCAAATATGCCAATTTTCTTTTCTGATATTGCCTGCAGCTTGCATACACAGATTTGTCACACTTTGAGTTATATGATAATAAAGACTTTTACATCAGTATGCTACCACTTTGTATCACTACAGTACTTGTGTTATTCCTTACTACAAGAATTTAAATAAAATAGAAAACTTTTCTTTTAAAAATAATTTATTATCCATGAAGAAAATTCTAATTATAGTGATCTACATACCTGTATCAGAGAATCCAGTTTGCCCTCCAATTCAAGACCACCATTGGGACTTAATATATGGGGTAGTCTTGGAGTTCGGTCTCCAATTGGAGGGTTACACTAGGTTTGTGTTAGATTGATGATGGATAGTTTTCATACTTCGAAAAAAGTGTCTCAAATTACAGTAAAAGGGTCTTGAATTGGAGGGCGAACTTTATAATACTGCTAGGTGGTTTTGTAAAATACTGTACTGTATTGCATTCATCATTTTAAAAAGCTTAAGTATGTACAGCAACTCCTATACATACAAGTACTGTATTAGATTTACCATATAGACAAATATTTTATTGTTAAAACAATCCAAAATAGACAATACTACAACTAGGAACTGTAACCATACCATTCACACACCAGGGGCGGATCCAGGGATGTCCAAAAGGGGCCCCCCCGAAAGGTCGGCCAGTCGAGATAATACTACCCCACGGGGTTCGGGGGATTCCCCGCAAAATTTGTGTGTTGTAGATGGCCAAAAATAATCTCTGAGGCGTTTAGAGAGATCAATTTTCTTTTTCTTTCAAAAATGGGGTCCAGGGCCGGCCTGGCCCCCCCATACATCCGCCCCTGTACACCCACCCAGCCACACATCATAAATGCCGAACCACAGTACTGTACCTTCATTTAGCTTTAATTTACTACAAGTCATCAGTGATTAAAATTTACAGTATTGTGAGTTGAACTTGCCTAAGTCGAATTCAAAGTGGCATTGAAAAATTATTCGACTGAGATAAAATTTGACTTACAGATTGTTAATTAAAACAACAATTTGGCATGTAAAATAAGTTCTAGTTAGCAAATTCAACTGCATATTTATCCTATATGGACATACTGTTTTTCTAGCTGCTTTCTACGTTGGCTACATTATTAATTTGAAACCCATTAAATTCCCTTCCTCTTTGCAGTCCACAATTTTTATCCAATTACTACAACCTTCCTCATCATACTTTTACTACACTATACCAGCACACATGAGTTATTATTTGGATAATATAGTTCTAACCACCAATTATCACTCTTAAAACAATCAAATACTGTATATTGCATGGTCAGTTAAAATTAACAATTGCACATGCATACTGGTACATCGTTGGGTTTTGAGAACCCCTATAATTTATCAGCTCATTTATTAATGGTCAGCTGCATGGACTACCCTCATTAAATAAGGTTTAAAGTCCAACTTCGGAGAAAAAAACAACTGATTTTTCTAAGACACAAAAACATATTTGACAAACAATTTGGTAACGGTTAATGAGATACATATTTTTGAATATTTAAAAACGGCGGAAAAAAGAGTGGTTACACCCTTTTTCTCCCAGTACTGTACAAGTATGGTTTGTTGTAACACTAGATACTGTATGCGCAATTCAGTATTTTTATGGTAAATAGTAAAATTGTTTTTAATAAAATAATAATTTTAATTGAAAATTGTAATACTGTAGCGTGAAGTAAACCTACATAGTACATTAATCTGCATTACACCACCTTAAAAATAAAATATTAAGATTCATAATTACTATTTATATCTTCTAATACAATGCACTTACTGTAATTTTCTTAAAATGTTCATTTAATCATTACTGTATTTCTTTTAAATTTCAGAATGCCCATAATCAGCTTCATGCAAATATCTATAAAATACTGTACTGATACTGGTTCAGTTTCTGACAACAAAGATACTGTAGATTTATTATAACTACAGCAAAGAGACATAAATGTTGTACAAAATTGTAGGCCTACAGAGGGCTAGTCTAACCTAAAGAAATTTCATTACAGACACATTTATTCAAGTATTACAAACAAAATAAATCCTGGTTAATGACTGTTTTAGCTACGGAGGTATAAAAGGATGGTGTAAGAATCAGCAAGAGAGGAAGATAGAACTAACTTACTAATCTGTTACATGATCTTAACCCAATTACAGTAGTCTGTTATAATGATATGTGGTACAGATCAGATAGTTGACTATGAAAATATATAGCTAAATGTATTCCTGATTCCCCTTTTAAAAATAATTTTATAATGTAATTATCTACCTAATAAAACCCACATGAGTTAAAGACCATCCAAAATAACTCTATCCAGATATCCTGCCCAGACTACTGTATCAAATCATCTTTGACAAAAAACTGGTGTATGCTATACAGTATATAGTGTCATGATGTGCTGTGATCATGACCATATGTAAGCATCTCACATTGTTTTGTCAAATAAGATTTGATTATTGTATTATTAACAGGACTTGATTTAAAATACCATCAAACGGATCATTACAGCATGATTAAATTTAAAAAAAAAAAAAAAAAAAACCTTTTAAAGACCATGAAAAACCTGGTCCGGGTCCTAAAAGTGATCTAGTATAATAATTGGAATGACATCTACCGTACCTCGCTACTGTATAATAAATAAAATACAGATATCAGTATTTGGTATTGTAATATGCAAAAGAAATTAGTTTTGACACCCAATTTATCATGAACTAATAATGCATAGATTTTTAATATTAATTTAAACTTGGCTTGGCTGATGGTCTATTTATGGTTTTGGAAGCTCATAAATTTTGGGTCGGTGCCCCTCTCTCACTTTGCCCAAGCTGGCTGTAACAATGTTCATTGCAGCCATTATCGTGGTGTCTTGCTCCCTTGGTGTTCCAAGCTCTGGGTTAAGCTCTACGACATCCACAGCATGGAGGAGACCTGTATCCGATACAACCTCCGCAATATACATTCCCTCACGATAGGTCAAGCCACCCATCACAGGGGTTCCGGTACTAGGTGATACAACGGGGTCTAGTGAATCAATATCATAACTCAAGTGTATGGGTCTGTCTCCCATAGGGTTAACCGTTTCAAGTGCACGACTTAGAACTTCTTTCACACCAAGTTTATCCACATCATGTATAGAATATCCAGTCATGCCAAATTTCTCCATGATATATTTTTCCCCAGGATCGATATCACGCAAACCAATATAAACTATATCTTTTAATGAGATGCAAGGTTTAATCCAGTCAAATCCAGGAACCGTTGGCATGTAGTCAGTCAGCTCATGAACAAGGAAAGACTGTACCATGCCATGAAGGTTTCCTGACATTGACGTCAACGGTGTGTTCAAATCAGCATGTGCGTCGATCCATAACAAGCACAAGTTTGGGTTCACTCGTGCATGGCCGTGAACACTACCCACAGATAATGCGTGATCTCCGCCCAAAGTCAAGCATAAACGTTTGTCTTCTTTCATGATTTTGTATACAGCATTAGATATCATCTGTGTTGCTTTTCCTAGGAAGCGAGAGTTTTTAACTGGTCTCATCGATGTCATATCTTCATCCATTTCTGGAAATTTTATATCTCCGTAATCTTTCACATCTCTTTCTATATCTTTCAATTGCTGAATCAATCCCACATCTCGAATTGTTTGCGGGCCCAGTCTAGTTCCAGATTTACCCTGTCCTTTATTTATAGGAGCGCCGATAATGCCGATATTTCTTGGTGCTTGAGCTTGACTTAGGCCCCTACTACTAAGACTAGCAACATATGTACCGCGGATTAAACCGCCCAGAATCGGGCATGTTGAGCGAAGAGCCGGTAACATTTTGTGGCCTAGCAGCAGCAGACTGGTGGTACGACCGAGTAAAGATTTCATCATAAGGACTTGTTTAAGCGAAAAGTGAATACTCACAAATGTTCACACTTACAATCAGAAGTTAATTATGCAGCTCAACCATCAAATTTAGAGAACTCCCAGCTTCATCGGTGTCTTAAACGTCCATACATTACCTCTACTTTCTTATCATTGCGCATGGTACGTAACACCCTGAACGCATGCATATGCAGGTAGGTAACAACTGGCGCCCCCAGGAGGCTGATACTTTTCATCTTTTAAACATACAGTAGTACATTTCTTTCATGTACACTATCAGAGTTGTGTTTTTCTTTATCCTGTTTTTTTGTTTTAGGTCTGTTGTAATTTTTATTGTTTGCATTTTTATTGCATTGTTTGATGAAATAAACGAAATAAAATGAAAGGAAATAACTAATGTTTGGCGTATTGTACATGATATTTAAAATCAAAGCAAAAAATAAAAGAAATGTGTGACGTATCTGTTAATTGAAGCCAAATAGGACACATAGACCAGCAGCTACTCATTATAGACACAGGGTTGGCATACACAGGCGTCAGTTTCACAAACAATAAAAACTAATTTTAGAGGATTATTATATAAGATAATAATCCTGGGCGCAGATCATAGATGGGCACACCCCCCCCCCCCGGGTTACCATATTATTAACGGGGTGGTCCCCCACTTTTCGACCGCAATGTAATTTGTTGAAATGAACTGCATACACGGAGACCCAGGTTTTAACGAGGAGCACCTGTGCCTGAGTACGTACAGCAGCTACTATAGCAAGACCGATGACCTATCACATTGCTGTCTCTTATACACATCTAGATGTGTATAAGAGACAGCTGCATACACGGAGACCCAGGTTTTAACGAGGAGCACCTGTGCCTGAGTACGTACAGCAGCTACTATAGCAAGACCGATGACCTATCACTAACATCAGAATTACCTATAGGCCTACAGTAGACACCCGTGATGGCGTCAGAATCCGCCCGACAGGGGAAAAAAAGCCCCGACGGTAGGAGGCGAGCAAAGCGAACCTCACTTGCCTGGAATCAGCTGCCTAGGGGCTACTAGTCGGGGTCCAGGGGAGAAACCCCCGGGAAGCTACGGATATTTTACGGATTTTGGTGAATTTTTATTAGTTATTTGAAGCTACCGTATGACTTGTAGGCCTATGTTTTATAATGTCGAAATAAACTTTAAAAACCGAATATTTTTGAATAAAAAACGAGAAACAAAGAGTAAGCAATGCACTTATTTTCAAATCCGTTTTACATTTTATATTATTATAACAAAAAAAAATTACCGTATTACATTACAATATACTATCCTCCCATCATGGCAAAATCCAGGTTTCTCATAATCCATGTGATTGTGAATTATTAACAACAAAATTACGAATAAGAATAATGTCTTACTGTAAATTGTAAGGTCCACCAATTTTTGACGTAGGGCCTATTATTCTACGATAAATTAAGAAAACACAATGTCACCGGGAACGTCACAGTACAATCTTTTAATTCAAAGTGAAGTTATAATTTTTTTTAAATTTTGCCTGAAATCTGTAAACCATGAGGTTGCGTCCCCGATCAAGATATACCGGTATTCCAAGCATCATAAGGATATCCAAAAGAGCATTTTATCATAGAACCCCAAGTAGAACGTAAACCATTTCTAATTAGTCAATTGAACAAGGGCGAATCCAGAATCTTTTAAACGGGGGAGGAGTATTTGAATTCTTTTTTTTTTTAATTTCAATACATAACATTAATACATAACATTAATATGCACTGACATTTAAAAAAATTGTGTCAAAACGCTATTTTGACACTTGACACTGTCTTGCTGACTTACGTTCCAGTAGATGTTTGAACTACAGTATTCATTGGGACGAATATCTGTTGTTTCAGAGGCTAAATTCAATGTGAAAAGTAATATATACGGTGATAACTTACAATAAAATTGTACGTGAATTTATGTTATATTATTATTATTATTATTATTATTATTATTATTATTATTATTATTATTATTGTTGTTGTTGTTGTTGTTGTTTTTGTTATTATTGTGATGAAAAGTTAACACAAACAGTACACTGTAGGTCAATGAAGGCGATATGGTTGCTAAACGAATAGGCATGTAAAAATATTTTTTTAAATTTTTTTGTATTTCCCGACGGAATGTACTCGTCTTCCCCTACGGAAGAGCTGTTCGAAAGAGCGAAACTTAAATGTTCCTAACCAATTCTAAAGGAGAACCAATTTTAAGAGAACTAACCAAAATTTAAAGCTTGTACAAGCTGTCTGGATTTGGAAACCCGTAAATATGTTAACACATGCCTTTGTATATTAATTATGTGAAGGAACCATAAAGAAACAGTAGATCACTTCATCTGTGAAATGTTCTAGGTTAAAACCAATCAGAGACTTAATATTCTCTGAATTGGAAAGAGATCCACGTAACCATCATTTAGAAACTCACTGGACTTCATTTATGGTTCTAATGATTTTAAACATATATTTTTAGATGATCTGCTTGATATAGATGAAAATCTTTCAATCATTGATCAATATTATTATTATTATTATTTATTCAGGCAAAAGATACAATATACAAACTATAAATACAAATCAGAAAAAAATTAAACGAACATAGCATTGACAAGTAGGCCTACAGTAAATAGACCATTGTCATTAGCTGCCAGGAAAGCGCAAAAGCAGCCTAAACCACTGTCACCAAATAGGTGTGTGCCTCCAACTAATGACTACATGTACTTAGATACAGTAATACAAATAATATTATGATATACATAAACGAAAGTGACTAGAGCATTACATTATAATATTAAGCCTAAGATATATCCATATAGATGCTAATAATAATTGAAATATTAAATTAGTTATACAAAATTTACATTCGAA